CTAGGCAGCTTGAAGGAAAAGCAAAGGGATAAAGAATTTAGCCACTGCTTGGTAAATATTCCAGACACACAAATTGTAATTTGAAGTTTAGATTATAACATGACTTAAAGTACTGGCTCTCAATCTAAAAAGAAGTAAAAAATGTATTGGAAGAGAGAAGTTTTTGTTGTCTATTTTACCTTTAGCATATACCACAAACTTCCAATGCATTTTGAAATTCTATAAAAAGTAAAAATACTTTATTTTCTCAAAAATACAACATATTTAACAAAATGTCACAAAGAAATAAGTTGAAGCAACAAAAAGTTCTGTTTGAATTCTTTATTAAATGCAAAGCAAAGTAATTTAAATTTTCTATTAACCTGCATTTTCCAGTTAATGAAATTGCTGTTAAATTATTTTGAATCAAGCCGTACCAATGATTGAATGTTGAAAAAGAAAAAGAAAACCTTCTATTTTATCTTTTTTATTTTAGGCTTTGCAAATATGCATTCAATTTTGGGGCATCTTAATAATCTTTTAATAGACTGAACATTTCTTATTTGCTTCCCTATAGATTATAAAATCATTGTTAACAAGGAAGAAACTTTCAATACGTTGAGCATTTGTTTTGCTGCTTGACCGGGGACCAGAATTGGGAGTGATTGTGTGAGTTCAAGCTGGGTTAGACCTCTCATCTCCACGCATGGTTAATAAGCAGATAGATCCTTTAGTTAACTTTATTGTTCATCTTTTGGCGCCAACGCTGACCAAATAGTAAGCTTAGCTATGCCTACATTTCAGAAAATCCTTTTCCATTCTAAAAGTGGAGATGTTTGTATTTGCTACTCCAGTTATATCACGCTGTTTAAATGAGGAAATGATTGCCCAAAACACTGTGTGATTAGTAACTGTCAGTATGTACTAATTAAATATTACTCCTACCTTGAGAGTCCAGACAGGGAGCATCAGTATCCATATAAATAAGGAAATGTGCCTTAAAAACACCAAAACATTTCCCCATTCTTTCTCTTTATGTGTGTGTGCATGTGTGTGTTTGTGTTTTGTTTGTTTTGTATTATGGAAGGTCTGGGGAGATAGTAACAGGGTTAAGGTGCACAGGGTTAAGGCGCTTGCCTTCACACTATAGATCTTGGCATCACAAGACTGCCAGAGGTCACTCCAGAGCATAGAGCTAGAATAGCCCCTGAATACCTGACGAGAGTGGTTCCCAACCTAAAAATAAATAAAAACAAAATTATATGAATAAAGTAATGCATGTTCACTGGAAAAAACTTGTTAATATTAAAAATATCTCGGTAGCTTGCCAGGCTCTTCAAGAGTGGCGGAGGAATCTCACCTGCACGGCAAAGCCTGGGAAGCTACCCTTGACGTATTCAAGATGCCAAACACAGTAACAAGAAGTCTCACAATGGAGACATTACTCGTCCCGCTCAAGAAAACCAATGAACAATGGGAGGACAGTGACAGTGAAAGATTAAAAATATCATGTTCTTATTTAGAAGAGAGTTAATAGCAATATTGTAAGCTTCACTTTTACTGGTTATTGCAGTTTTTCATATTACCCTTTCAAATGTTTTCATATTCATATTTTAGAATATTTAAATGATGTTGAATTCCTCTCAAATGAGATAATTTGTCTTTTGTATATTTTTAGTCTTTATAGTTTTTATTCTCCTCTCGGAGAGCCCGGCAAGCTACCGAGAGTATTCCATCTGCACAGCAAAGCCCGGCAAGCTCCCGGTGACGTATTCGATGTGCCAAAAACAGTAACAACAAGTCTCACAATGGAAACCCTACTGGTTCCCGCTCAAGCAAATAGATGAACAATGGGAGGGCAATGCTACAGTGCTATAATTTTTATTCGAATCCCTATATTTTTTCTATTTTAAAACTTTGCAATTTCACATTTTTTTCTTTTTGGGTTACACTTGGCAATGCTCAAGGGTTACTCTTGGCTCATGAACTCAGGAATTTCTCATGGCGGTGCGCAGGGGATCGTATGGGATGCTGGGAATCGAACGCAGGTCAGCCATGTCCAAGGCAAATGCCCTACACACTGTGCTATTGCTCCAGTCCCAGCAATTTCATATTTTATCAAATACTGTTTTTATCTTTCTTTTTTTGTTTGCAATGATTTTTTAAAATAAACCTTACTTCAATCTCTTAGAAGCTTCCTATCAGTGAGATAGATAATTGCCTCATTTCAACAGAGATCAGAAATGTTTGTATTCTCTCTGCAGAGTGTGGTTTATTCTCCAGTATAAATATATAGCCAGTTCTGTTACTATCAAGATATATGGCTCAAGTTCAACTAATGAAAACTTCACACTTTTATTTGACAATTTTTTTAAATATTTAACAAGAGCACATAGAATATCTATACATAGCTGATCAATAAATTTTGTCTATTGAGAATGCAGATTGCAACAAAATGTGTTACTCTAAACTTATTCATCAATACAGACTGGATAGATTTTGCTATTGGACTGCTTCATGTGATTGTTCTGACATCACATAGAGAAGAGACTGTTTACTAGATGGTCTCCCATGGTTAGCCTTGGATGAATAATTGATCCTAATGCAGCCCATCTTTAGGAAGCTAGCTATAGATGATTTGTGAGCATTGGTTGAAACATTTATATTCTTTTGCTTTGTAATTGAAGTGAAATTTAGAAACTGTTGTCTTATTGTGGTGGAATAAGAACAGAAATGTTATATGTGATCATAGGTAATGCAGATTTATTTGACCACAAACCGAGTAAAGAACAAACCTTTCAAAGCAATATAGTGAAGCAGTAGCATTAAGAGAGACAAGAAGCAAAGATACAGTATCTCCCAAGATACAAATTACCTTGTGCTTCTTTTGGTTTTCTAATTGCCATGAGACTTAGATTTATGTTATTTGGATTCAATTAATCTCTGTTCATTGTAATAATCTCTGTTCATTGTAATAATGTTCATTGTAATTTATAGGCATACTGACTAATGTATGCCTATAAAGTTGCTTTTAATATGAAGCTGATATGAATTCAGTTGGTTTGTATAGAAGGATGTAATTATAAACAGAAGTATAATATAGATAACTTAAGTCTACTGAGTGTCCACTATAGAGTTTTTTAGCAATTTCATTTTAAGAATGAAGATAAATTTCTCTTAATTATACTTGCCATGTTTCTGTGTAAGGGCTTATAAGAGAAAAGAAAAAATAAAATAAAATACATAAAAATATGTACATATGGGGCCAGAAAGATAGCACAATGGGTAAGGCATTTGACTTGCTTGCATCTGACCCAAGTTTGATCCTTGAAGCACCATTAAGAATGTTCCATGAATGTAGAGGCAGGAGTAAACTCTGAGCACAACTGGATGAGACCCTAAAAGAAACAAAAAATTTGTATACAAACATTTATTTTTTGCCCAAAGGGTTTAATGCATAAAAACCTGTCATTAACGGTACCATAAATCACAGTGCCATATGTACTCTCTCTTTCTCACACACATACAGAAATGTTAGTATTCTCTCTAACATTCATATATATGCATATATATATATTTCTGTTCCAAATCATATTCCATGATTTTCTTTCTATAATGTAGACTGCTAGGAAAGTAGCTCACTTGAAATTGAATATGAAGACCTATTAACTAGTGGAATTGAGGTGTAGATATATCTGAGAGCAGAAGCCTGTGGTTAATCACTGTATTCACATTTAAAATTATAAGATGTTAAATTATCTCACCTGATAAAATCATTCTAATGGTCTTATTTTCTGGTGTTTTTTTATCATCTTAATTCCCTAGTTGTATATTAATTTGTTCAATAGAACACTTTTAAATAAGTCACTGTAGATACTCCTGTGGAAGAAACAAGATTTAACTAAGATGAAAATAATTAATATTGAATCACATATCATGTGCAAACATTAAAATATTTATGACATTTTTATTCACAATTATTTTATCTATAGAAGGATTTTTATATACATGGTATGTGACTGTAAAAATTCTATATATTATATTTAACTTATATTAAATAAAATTAAATATATATTGTCATATATATTGCTGTCTGGATTCTGGTCATCAAATATCTCACAGTCTCTGTCAAATGTGTTGGCATTGATTTTTAGAAAATGAAATTATGTTGGAACTTATCAATATTATCCAAGGGGCCTCTCCAGACATTCTTAAGGATGCAGGGTTTTGTCTTGGGATGCAGTATTCTCTCCTATCATCATCAAAGACACTCACCAAACCAAATCTCTAAAGTTCCATTTGCAATAAAATACCATCAGCAAACAGATATACATAGAAGTTTGCCAAACCACTCAATTTGATTCCTGATATAGGGATGAATGCATGAAAATTACTCTCAACTACTATGGTAGAATATAGAATATAGATCGTTATCAGTTTTATTAGCCTTCCCCAGTTACCTCATTTTATCCACAGGTTACCTCATTTTACTAGCCACTCTAACCACACTTCGACAGTTCAATTTTGAATATAGCTTTCTGAAACAATTTTATATAAAAGCATTTTACCATTTGTGCTTTTCTGAAATTTAATGGAGTCACATTTACTATAAATTTGGAATCTTTGTTTATACATACAGAACAGTTAAATGACTTTCTTACATAGCAAGCACCCCGCTGTAAAGATTGAATATTATTTTTATATTTTAAAATGTAGGTTATTATCTAGCATATTAAGATTGAGATATTTTTGGCAGGGACCTTTCAAGTGGTACTCAGGACCCCCGAGGATGCCAATAATTCTCAACCAACTGGGCTGGTCATTCAAAGCAAGGTTCTAGTGGTCACCAGGACCATTCCAGGAGATGCTTTGAAGTCACTTAGTGGCAGGGATAAAAGAGCCTTGTGCATGCCAGCCAGGTGCTTACCCTTGAGCTATATCCAAACTTTAAGAGCTCTTTGTTTGTAATTAAACAATACATTTACTCTAGTGTTTAGTCTATATTTTCTATTGTATTTCAGAGCTCTTGGATCTAAACAGAACATCAGTCTTTCGTAGCCCATTTGGATTTCTTGATCTCCACACAATGTTGCTAGATGAATACCAAGAGAGACTCTTCGTGGGAGGCAAAGACCTTGTGTATTCCCTCAGCTTGGAACAAATCAGCAATGACTATAGAGAGGTATGGAAACATCCATCTATATTTCTGGAGGAACAGAAAAGTGGTGTAGGAATTATCTTCGTGCATGACTATTACTTGTTTTTTAAAATGTTGTTCCTGACCATTAGGATGAAAGAAAATATTCAGTAAATATAAAACCATTTTGGGAAAATTTATAATCATTGTGACTTTCCTATTACATCAATGATCTCTGTAGTTAATACTCATGTTTTCAACATTCCTCTCTCATGATGATGAGTGTTGCCACACCCAATAACCTAAGAATGAGGTTAGGGATATGATGAAGTACTAATAGTCCCTCTGGGCCTTATTACAATGAAACCCCAGCCTGAAGAAATATGGACATGTAATCTCAATATACCTAAGTCATTTCGTTGTGTTGTAATAACCCAAATTCAGGCTGTTGCTTCTTATACTTGGTTGTGTGAAGTATGATATTAAAAGAGGCAAGCATGCAGCATTTTTAGGAAAAGAAGGAAAATATGATAAGAAAAATAGTCCTTTTATGCTTATACAACACTAAATTGAGCTCAATGTTTTACAGATTTATATCAACCTTATACAGAATATGTAGAAATACTTAGACCATAGTATTTTTGTCATGCATACATACATATTATAATTTTTATCATACTCTATCAATAAATAAACACCATTTTTATAATTTATTTATATTTTTATCAAAACAATGAATGGTCATATTTTAAGTTATTTAAAACTATGATGAAAAATTAACAGCCATTTTTCTGCCAATGCCTACTTCCTACAGAAAATAATTTTAATCTCTTTTCTTATTTCCTCTGGCTCTTGCCTTCATGCTTTAAGATACTGTTCTGATCATCCTTGATATCACAGATTCTGGACAGTATTTTTTAAGGGAGATGAAGATTTCAGCACATTAGTTAATTATCTGTATTCTGCCTTCATCAGCAACTATTCCATCCTATGCAATACCAACCTTTTCAGTATAGATTTACCATGATTTTTTGTTAGTAATAACTGTTACTTCACAGTTAAGTAGTGACAGTTTATATGATAAATTTTGTTAAGCAATGACTGAAATTTTATTTGCATAATAATTATTTACATTATAAGAATTTGGAAAATTGAATATACCACATACCTCCTTATTTGTTTTCCTTTTCTTTCTATATTAAATTTCTCATTTTTCAGTTTAGTCTTTCACATCCTTTTTTTTAAATCATACTCTATCAGTATTCAACATATTTCTCAATATAGTAAGACACACTGATTTTGATCAGTTTCAATTTTTATGTTTTAAAAATACTCGTTTTGTATTTCTTTTCATTCTGAATTTAATTTCACCATTATCCTGAGTACTTTTAAGTAGCTACAAAAGTCGTATCTGTGGCTTTCTGAAATTTTATTGAAGTTCACCTTATATTTGCTTTTTAAAGAATGATCAAAAGTAAAAACTTGGACTTTCATATGTTTAAAAATAATATTCAAAATTCACAAATTCTAAAATGAAATAATTTTCTTTATTTTACTTATTTTATATTGTTGAGTGGAAATTATTTGTCTCAGAATTTGAAGATATTGCCCCATTGTTTTTAAACCTTATAGTAGCTCCTGAGACATTGTATTTCATTCAACTTTCAAAGATTGATTTATTTATTTATATCTTAGCCTCCCCAATCCTGACCATTTGCAATTTCTTCCCCTTAAATTTTCTTAACTTTCTCTTAGATTTGATCTTTTATTCATGTACTTTGAAGGAACAAAATGCACTTTTCACTAAGGATGACTTTTAACTTTATAAATTGTAACTTTAGAAATTGTAATTTATTTGGCCCACTTTTACGTTTTCTTCTAGTCTTTCTGCCAATCCTATCAGACTTTTCCCCTCATTAGTTGGATTTGCTGTTTACTTTGTTTTCTGTAAACTTTGATTATTTCTACTAATTCTAACCACATTCACTCCTCTTCTTTTTTTCAGAGGGACTGTATTACTACTTTCAAGTGCTTTTTCATAAATCAGTTTAATGATTTCCTTCACCTTATAGACTGGAGGAAAAGCTAAAATCTTACAGTGTTTCAAGAGCATGAAATCACTCATCACTTGTACATTTTGAGGTTTTTGTTGGTGTTGTTATCATTGTTATTGATTTTGGGCCATGACCAGGGATGCTCAGGGCTTATTTCTAGCTCTGCCCTTGGGGATCACTCCTGGTGGGGCTAGAGGAACCACATAGAGTGGCAGGGATTGATCCCAGTTAGTCTCGTTCAAGGCAACAACCCTGCCTGATTACTATCTCTCTAACCCCAAGTCTAATTTTTTATAGAACTGCCAAAATATTGCTTACACTTCTTTTTTTTTTTATGTAGGAGTACTGCTATTTATTCAGCCACTGATTAGGCTGATTGAATTTTGCATGAACTCACCTTACTTTTTTTTCCCCATTTTTAAAATAATTTTATTTATTGAATAACCATAAAAGCAGTTACAAAGCTTTCTGGTTTAAATCTTGGTCATAAAATGAAACACCCGTACCTTCACCAGTGCCCATTCTCCACCTCCAAAACCCCCAATATACCACCATCCCACACCCTCCTCCTACCTGTGGGGCAGATGATTTTTAAATCACTCTCTCTATACTTTGATCACGTTCAACATTTCGACACCACATCCTCCATTATTATTTGGGATTTTACCCCAACACTCAGATCTGTCAAAAAGGCAACAGTAGACGATTTGTTTTCTATTGCTGGTCATGAATAATATATGATGTCGCGTGGTTGCAGTAGTGGCTGAGCAATTTTGAAATTCTGAAATTTTGACAATTAAATCTGGAGAGATTTCCTGCCAAAATCTGCTAGGTTTCAAGATCTGTTCCTGCATCTCTGGGATCATAGCCATTAAGCAGCTTGCTCAGGAGCCAAAGACGCCATTCGTGGGTGGTGATTCGCGGTATCATTTGGGTGGGGAGGAAAGGGCCGGCTCCACCCCCATCCCATGAGACCCCGCATGTCTCGTCACTGGGGGCCCAAACCTGACTATCCAGTGGTCTCTGGCAGATGGTGGCCACCGAGCTGCCAAGGGGGAGCAGGCCAAGGTACAAAACCTATTCCCACCTGGGGTGGCCCAGAGCTGGTAACCTACTCCGTGGCCCAACGCATTTCTGTCAAAAGCCGTTGGGTTTCAAGATTTGTTTCTGAGTCTCTGGGATCATGGCCGTTAAGTAGCTTGATTAGGAGACAGAGAGGCCATTTGTGTGTGGTGACTCAGGGTCTTGTTGGGGCGAGGAGGAAAGGGCTGGCTCCACCCCCATCCCGAGAAGCCCCCTGTGTCTCGTCACTGAGGGCCCAAATCTCACTGTCCAATGGTCTCTGGAGGATGACGGCCACCAGACTGCCAGGAAGAGCAGGCCAAGGCACAAAACCTATTCCCACTTGGGGTGGCCCAGCACCAGTAACCTACTGCAGGGACCGGACACATTTCTGCCAAAAGCCATTGGGTTTTGAGATTTGTTTCTGAGTCTCTGGGATCATGGCCATTAAGCAGTTCAATCAGGAGCCAGAGAGGCCATGCCTCCAATTATATAGCTGAACCGGAGGTGGTTTGTGGGTGTGTTTCCCACATACCTAACTTTTGGCCGTTTACTTTCTTGGAAAACTTTGTCCCAAGGTTTTGGAGTCTGACCAAAGGCACAGCAGCAATTTTGGGGTATCTGGAAGTCTGAAGGTGCCATGAGGCTGCTGATGCACTCGCCTCACATGTATATCGACCTGCTGGCAGCACCATACCCTCTTGGTTACACTTCTTGACTTTTTATCAGTGTCTACTCAATATCTATTTGTACTTTTGTTTGTTTTGATTTTTGGGGCCCCATTAAGTGTTCTGCTCAAGAATTACTCATAGCTCTGCAATCAGATTACTCCTAGTCCCGTACTTCTGGCTTCCTGACTGGTTTAGGAGACTATGTGTGTGCAGGGATCGAACCTGGGTGGGCTGTATGCAAGTCAAGTGACTTGCCCACTGTACTTTTTCTCCAACTCCATATTCGTCCTTTTTGGTTGATTTTTACTATAATTGTAGCACTTGAAGAATGATAGAATGCAACACATAGCAGCCTCTGAGAAATACTGGGTGGAGCTCAAAAAAACAAAAAAAATGTATAAAGATCTAAATGAAATTATAAGAAAAAATATAAGAACTGGTTGTTCCTGAGAAAGATAGTTTTGATTTTGATTCATACAACTTGGTAATAGGGACAGAATGAACAGGGTGAAGTGCAGATATTTTACAGTGGTTTGAAATAGTGACTCATATTCTTGTACATAGGTGAGGTGGGGGCATGTGAGTGGGACAGAGTATAAAGGAAGAATCATCGATGGAAAAGCAGTTGAAAGCAGATCCTGGTGAAGATTTTCTGCTCCGTTGTTGAGGCTTAATCTGCCAGGCAATGAAAAAGTCAGCGGGGGATTCTGAGAAGATGTATAACATAATTAGACTTGTGTGATTACTTTAGCAGCAGCATGTGGATAAATGAAAGGGAGAGAAGATGAGAGCTATGAAAGCCTTAAATAGCAACTAGAGTTTAAAACAAGTCTTAGAGGTCAATGTTCTTTCCACTGTACCACACCATGGAGGTTGAGAGAACCAGGTGTCAAGTTCAGGTTTCCAAATTGGTCTTTATTGTGCCTTTCTGTCAGCTTTGTGTTTTGAGGTATTTCCCCTTGGTTCTCATTCTCTTCACATTGCTCCTCTTTATGAACGATGGTTAAAACTAGTGAAACAGCTCATTATTGATGGTGGAGGGGAAAAAACACTGGCTAGCTTGAGCAGGAACTTTTTTACCCTGTTTACATATGGAAAAGGCTGAGTCCCAGTTCAGATAAACCAGAGAGATTTAGTTCAATCACAGATAAAAGATCATTTTATCTGTATTCTGTCTATAGCTCTACTTAGTCTTCCTGAGAAACAAAATAAAACAAAATATTCTAGTTTTTCCGGCTCGAGAGAACGGGAACCTGGG